GCGCGGGCGGCGGCGGCGCCGAGGCGGAGCGGGATCACCGGGATCGGATGGGTATGCGGGAGGCAGATCTGGATCTGCCCTTTGAGCTTCACATGCTGGAGGTGGCCCTCGGGGAGGTGCGGGGGCCGGGGCCCGGCGGCGGCTTGGCGGCGGTGGTGCAGGCGGCGGTGGTGGCGGTACTGATGTATATTGACGTAATCGGTTGCGGTGGTTGATGTGGAAAGGGGGGCCAGGGTCAACAAACTGCCGTGGCGGGATCCGTTTTTTTCCAAGCCAACCAGTGTTTTGGCCTGTGCGCTTGGCGGACGGAGAGGGGCCAGCCCTGGGCAGCCGCTGGGGGGCAGAGGCCGTCACCGCGGCCTCAGCGCGCCGCTGGGGGCCAATTGTGGCACCCGGGACGGCGGCCGCGCACGAGCCTTGTGCCGCCACACGGCATTTCATATCTGCACACACGCACACGCACACATGCTCACACGCGCGCGCAGGTGTGCCGCCACCTGGCGCAGCAGGCGGCGTCACTCGAGCAACTGGCCCACCCGGCGCTCGACGCGCTCACGCGCAACGCCGACACTATCAACCTCGAACGGGTGACCTGGCGCCCTGATCTGATACGCTTGATCTGTTTATGTCGTACCTGCTGTACGTCCCTGCGCCGCGTTGTGTTCACCCGCGGGCTCGCTGTGCACGCTGATCTCATGCGGCATGTCAAACCAATCACCTACTGCAGAGGCGCCGCGCTGCTTGGGGTCCCCTCGCGCCCTTCCTCCTCGCCGCCGCCGCGCTGCCGCCGCCGCCCGACGGTCCCTCGCCATTGCCCCTCAAACCCCCGCGCCCCCCCCTTCCGTTGGGCCCCGCAGGTGCGCAAGATCAAGACGCAGCACCAGCGGCTTAGCGGGCGCGTGACGGGGCTGCGGGAGGTGCTAGAGCGATACATGGGTGAGCGACGCGCGCTGACAGACGACACGCACGTGATGTAATTCGCACGGGCCGTTGCGTCAAGCCGCGCCTGTTACAAGGGGCACGGTGGTCCCGCACCGCCTTGCTGCGGGGTCTATGCGCAAGGTTGAGCCCCCTAGGCTGGCAGGGGTCTAGGCGGCAGGATCGGGGTGGCGGGGACAGTTTTCTCCCTGCGCAGTCAGGGAATTCCGGTTGGCACCCGGCCTTGCTCAGTGCGCGCCTGCCTTTGGCCGGCCTCGTGCGCCGCTGATTTCGACGCCGCCCCACCCATGAGCTCCGCCCCCGCCACGAGCGCCGCGGCAGCGGAGTGAATGCCGCGCTGACCGACAGACGCACAGCAGCACGTCAGAACCCGCCGCGGCCTCCGCACCCGCTTGACGAAACAAGACACCGTTGCAACCGCCTCGACCGTCAAAAACCACACATCCGATCTGACCGCCTCGACTGCCAATCCCGTTGTGACCGCCCCCAGAGGATGACCAGGACATGTACCGCATGTGCCTTACTAAGCGGCGGGAGACGGATGTGGAGCCGACTGGGAGTGACAACACGCTCATGATATCGCGGCCCAACCCCGCGCGGCACCACCTGGTCAGTGTGTCAATGTGTTTGACGTGTGTGTGTGTTGTGCACACAATGTGCATTTGTGTGTGCGTGTGTGCGTGCTGGAGGTGTGTTAAAATGTGTGGGGGGCAGGGACGGGGGGTGATGGGGGATTTGGGGTTGTGTAACTTGACAGGCGTGTGGGTATGATGGATGGGTGGGCGTGTGGGTGCGTGCAAATTCCGTGTGTGCTTGTGTGTGTGTGTGTGTGTGTGTGTGTGTGTGTGGGTGTGCATGTGCCTCAGCGTGTGCACATATTCACGCATTGAGTGATCGCGCGCGCACGTGTATGTGTTTGTGTGGGTGTGGGTGTGGGTGTGGCGCTTGCATGCACGCTCGCGCACATGCCAATGCGTTTGCGCACACAACCAAGCGTGCTCCGGCTGACAGCCAGCACCCGTGCGCCCGCCCCACCCTCGGCTTGGGCAGAACCCCCACTCTGCGCCGTGAGCGGCAGGCCGTGCCCGGGCCCGCATGCCGCCGCTCCTTCCCCTTCAAAAGCCCTCCACGCCGCAGCAACCCCGCCTCCTGCCCCATTCCCCGGCTCCCCGCAGGCCGCGGCCGGCCTGCTGCGCAGCCACAGCCTGGCGCGCAGCCCACCTGTCTTCCTGGAGCGCCTGGGGTCGTCCCTGCCGCGGCAGCGCGGCGGCGCCGACAGCGACTCAAGTGGGTGGACCTTGCACGCCCGCGTGCGCCGGCGCGCGCGTTGGCCGCCCCCGCGACGCTCGCCGGCCGGCTGAGGGTGGAAGCTGGGATGGTCATGGGCGAAGCAGCGCCGCGCGGGGTGTCTGAAGACGGCGGCCCGGCCGGCCGCTCGGTTGTCTGCAGGAACGAGAGGAGTGGTCGTCCTGTGGGCCTCTCTGCGCCACCTGCAGCCCGACCCTAGCTGTTGACGCGGTCGCCCCTCGGTCCCGCCCCACCCTTCTCCGCCTTGCCCCTCCTCTGGCGATCGCCCACCCCGCCGCCGTCCAAGGCAGCGCAACCTCGGACGTGCACGACCTGCTGGAGGTGCGGGCGGCTGGCTGTTTGGGGGGCACGCGCTAGCACCGTGGTGGGGCGCCGCGGGTTGGCGGCAGTGGCCCCCTTTTCAAACCTGCAATCCCCTCAAACAGCCCACCACCCGCATCCTTGCATTCTTTGACAGCTGTCCAGACCAGAACCTCATACCCTCATACCTTCTCACCCCCTCCCCGCCCCCAATCGCCAGGTGGAGAACCTGCTTGAGTCATATTACATGATGGTTGACTCAACACACCACAAGCTCAACGCCATAGGTGGGTGTGTGATTGCTTTATGCAATAGGTGAGTTCGTGAGTGTGTTACGCATGTGTGTGTGTGAGTGCGTGCGCGTGTGTGTGTGTGTGTGTGCGCGCGCGCGTGCATGTGCATGCGCTTGTGTGTGCGTGTGCGTGTGCGTGTGGCACCCGCAAGTTGGCTGCTGCGTTCAAACACACTAAGACAAGGGCAGGTCTCAGCAGCAACCGCAGGGCAACGCGACGCGACCACAGGCGCCGAACAAGCGGCGTCTCCCTCGGTGTGCCCGCCCCGCTCCCAGCTCCCTGCCTCAGCGCGCGGGCCCCGGTTGTGCGGCGGCGTCGGGAGCTGCTCACTCCCCCTTCCCCCTCGACCCCCACAACGTCTTCAGCTTCATATGCTCATACCTCGCCCCCGACCCCCCACCCCACCCCCACCCCAACCCATAACCCAAACCGACCGTCACCAACCGCCAGGGGAGTACATCGATGACACTGAGGACTACATCAACATTGAGCTGGACTACAGCCGCAACAGGCTGCTGCGGCTAGAGATCATGATCACGGTGGGTGCAGTGAATGTGTGTGTGTGAGAGAGAGAGTGTGTGTGTGTGTGTGTGCTTGCTATACCCGCACAGTGTTTTTGTGTGTGTTATGGAGGGGAGGGGAGGGGGGCATTCGATTCACTGGGATTGTCGCAGCCGCCCCACAGGCGCTGCCGCCACCTCCCAGGCCAGTGCCCTGGGGAGGTGCGACGGGAGCGCCTCGGGCAAGCTGCTGCGCCGGGCAGGGGTGACGGGCCCGACTCGCGCGGGCCGCCATCGCGCCGCACCGCACGTCTAGCCCGCACGAGAAACGCCACTCTAATCCCATCGCAAACGCATGCGCTCGGAGCGGCCCAATCTCCAGATCACCCCAAACACAGGTTCTCAACCATTGGGCACTCCTGACCGCGCATCTCCCCCCCCCTCTCCCCCCTCCGGCCCAGGTGGCGACCTTCTGCCTGGCGCTGTACAACCTGCTGGCGGGAGTTCTCGGCGAGAACTTGGTCCTGCCGACGCTCATCACCCAGGACATCTGGGGCTTCGTTGTTGTCAACGGCACGGCCTCGACCGTCTGCGTCGCGCTCTTCTTCCTCTCGTGGCGCGTGATGCAGCGGCGGAAGATGATCTGATCCGACCCGATCCGATTCGCCGAGGCCATGTGATCCGCGTTGAGGTTCGCGAGCGGCGACGCGCCCCGCGCGCCGGGGGGGGGGGGGTCGGCAAGGTGGAGCTGGGCGCGTGGCACTCGGCTGTCACCGTTGTTCGCGCAGCAGGGGTTGGTCCTGCCACGATAATCGCAATCGAGTGGGGGCCAGCCTGGAGAGGAGCCCCCTTTGGCCCCGCCCCCAGCCCCAGCCCGCGCTGGGGCCTGTTTTGGGTCGAGCGAGCCGCCGCGCCGCGCGGCGCTGTGCGTGAAGCCACGGCCCATTCAGAGGTTGTGGGGCACCCGGGCCGTGCCGGCGCACGCGGCGCGCGGCGCAGCCCCTGCATGCCGCGGCGTCCCTGCTCGATCGAGACTTATGGGCGGGTCCCAGGCGAGCAAAGCGGCCGCCAGCATATGCAGGCCTTTGGCTCTGTTTTGCAGCCTTGCCCCACCCCATTCATGGCTTTCCCATTCGTTTTGGCGCGCAAGAGTTGACCTAGCGCATGCATCCGCGCCGTGCGTCGCCCCAGCCACAGGCTGAGCCGTGTCCCCGCATAGCCCCGGGGTCGCGCCGTGCCACGCCGCCTGCAGCCAGCAGCGCCCATATTGGCTTCCCCTGTATGGGGCCCGGCCAGCCGGCCCGGCGTCTGCAGCGCGCGGCGCCCGTGCAGCATGCATGCGGCCATACCTTCAGGAATGTGTCGCTGCGCCGGTGCGGTCCCGTGCTTTTTGCCCTGTACAGGCTGCTGGCTTTTCTCCCATCTGTGGAGGGGAGGCCGGCGCTGGCTGCGCTGGCGGCGCTCTCGATGGCCGGGCAGTGCCACACGCATACACATATAGGTCGCGGCGGGCCGAGCTGCAGGATGTAATTCGCTGATTGCTTTTCATGGCGCGCTCACACACTGCATCGGTGGGCAGCAGCGCTCGAGGCGGCGGCGTTCGAGGGGGGCAGCAGCGCCGGCATCTTATATTCTCGCCTGCAGGGGGTGCTCCCTAGCAGCCGGCCCGCGCTGCCTGGTGCCAAAGGGCTGGTCAGCAGCCGACGCCCGCGCCGCCCAGCTCGACGCCTGCAGTAGGGCTTCCCAGCAAGCACAAATTCCCGGATTACAACTTGCAAAAACGCACCTCACGCACACTCGACCTCGGGCGTCGGAGTGGGTCGGAGGACCGGCGGGACCCTCTCGCAGGCAGGCCGCGCACTCACAAAGTCGTTGCGGCAGCTCATGCCGGCCGCATGCGGCGAGGCGGCCGACGGGCCGGGGACTTGCGGCTCTACGAAACCGCGCACGTGTGCCGGCCAACGAGAAACAGAAAGCATGGCCGCGCGGCATACAAGGCGGCCAGCCATGGGTGCGAGGCGTGGGGGAGGGGGCGGGCGCGGCACGGCGCCGGCAACGCCTCGCTGGCGGCTCGCCGCGGCGTGCGTGGGCAGGGCGACACGCCCAACCGTCGCCCCGCGGCCCTTTGAAAAATTCATTGCCAGGGGGTGATTGTACAACGTGCCAGGGCAGGCGCGGGCCGCTTCCTTGTCTCATGAAGATCCGCTGATCGCCCAGGGAGCTTTGATGCCGGGCACCCCGCGCCAGAAACACAGGCGCGAGCCGCTCTTGTCACGATGTGCATGCATGCACACAAAGAGAAAAAGGGTTCCAGGGTTGCAAAAGGGTTCCAGAGCCGCGCCCGCGCGCGCGTCGGGGAGCGGGGAATGGCAAGACTCCTATTTGGGCGCCGACATTCGGTTAATGATTGGTTCGCGTGCAGACAATGTGCAGATGGCTGGTGCCGGGGCTTGCCCCGGCTCAATGAACCGCAGCGCCATGCCAGGCGGCAAGGACGGCCTATAGACAGTTGAGGATTTGAGCACGCATCTCACGCATCCCTCGCACTCCTCTCTAACCAATCAGCACCCTGTCTTCGCCTCTCTAACCAATACAAAAGGGCACGCACGCGCAATACTAACGGGTGCGGCGGCTCCCTACCCTCAAGCCTTTCTGCCGCATCATTTCCTGGGCGGCGGCGCAATGGGGATGTGCAGGGTCGGCTCGCCGGCCAAGGGCGCTGCCCACACAGTTTGTGTGCGGTTCTGCTGCTGAGAGTGCGCACGCCGGGGCTCAAAGGGTGCACCCCGCATTCGGTAGTGCCTGCCATGCACACGGGCAAGGGAACGGGGCCACATGCGCGACCGCATGCGCGGAAGCACGTGCTCATGATGCACGTGGGTCCAAAAGACGATTTGAAGCATGGGGCCTTTGACCAACCCGTCCAGCCGTGGCACAACCGGTGCCACCGTGGGTCGAGGCCCGCACAAACGGGCGCGCAAACCAATAAAGGGTTCCTCAGAAAGGCCGCGCCCATGCATCAGGGGTTGCGGTGAGGCGCTGGCCCTGATAATTCGGGTGCGGGCTGAACAGTTGGAGTGCGGCCGTGTGCGAGGGCGGGGCTCGGGTCGAAGCGGGGCGCTGCCCCTTGCCAGCCGGAAGCTGTTGCAGCCTGTACGAGGTGCGAGCGGAGCGCTCGTGCTATGTGACGGGTGAGACGGTCCATGCATCCGTTGTCGCTCTCTCATGAGATCCCCTACCCCACGCTCCGCCAGCCGACAACCGCGACCGGAAATCAAATGCTTGAGCACACTTTTGGAGCAACAAAGGTGGTACCGGCGCCGGCCGGCCGCCGCTCTGCGGGGGCTTGGCCCTGTCCTGCCCGCTTGCAATGCGGCTGGCGGGGCGCATCGGCGCGTCTTGAACACTAGCTGCCTATTGATGATGACGAAAAGCCACGTTGAAGATGTTGACAATCCAAAAGACTGCAGCTGCAGCGGCCCACACCCTACGAAGCATGCCTGTACCCAATGCCAGGGCCGCCGCGGCCGCTGCCGCCAGCCACGGCGCCGATCGCGCAGCAGGGGCCGGCCGCGTGCGCCGCAAACGGCGTGCTGAGGCTGAGCGCGCGCGCCTGCTGCGCGACGTACGGCAGGGAGGCGTGCGGCAGGCACGCCTGCGGCTGCAAGGAGGCAGCGGCAGCGGCGGCCGTGGCGGCCGCCGCCAGCAGCTGCCTGCTGGTGGCGAACTCTGCGCCGCCGAGCGCGCAGCTGTCGAACCAGGCTGCCTCGCCGGCAGGAGTTGCAAGAGCCGCAGCCAACGAGGCCGCCCGCGGCGCAAGCGGCCCGGTGCCCAAGAGGAGCTGCCCCGGGCGCCCGCAGCCAATGCTGCAAGCAGCCCGGTGCGGCAGCGACGCGGCCGGCCAAGCCGTGGGGGCCGCGTGGGCGGGCCAGCAGTGGCCAATCGTGGAAGTCAGAGGGGCGCCTTGGGCGCTTGGGGGCGTCCACAGGTGGGCGAGGTCAGAGATCTGTAATGTTAGATGGGGGGGCATTGTGCAGTTTGGGCGCACGATTCAGGGAGTATCATGGGAGGTGCGAATGGAGGCATGCGTGCGTGGGTAAGTGCATGCGTGCGTGCATGCGCGCGCACGCACGTGCGTGCATCCGTGCGCGCATGCGCGCGCAAGGCTGTGTGCCACGCAGTGTATGGGCCCCGGTGAGGGAGGATGCCGAAGCGCGACCCCACAAGGACATCAGGGGTTGGGAGGGCCTGCGAGATTGCCGAAATCACATTGCCCCTGCAGCCACGCAGCGCTAGGCCGTCAGCTGGCCCGGCACTGACCTGCGAAGCCGCCACCGCCGCCGTCAGCGCTGCGGCGCGGCTGTTCACGGCGTGCTCGACGCTGGCCGCAATCAGGAAGTCGGAAAGGCGGCCCCCCAGCGAAGCGGCGCCTGCCGCGGCGCCGCAGCCGGCCGGGGTGCCAGGGAAGGTGCCGGGGTCGAGGAGGGCGCTGCTGCCGGTGAGGGAGCCGGCTGGCTCCCGCATGGTGAAGGCTGGCAGCGCCGCGGCGTCCCAGAGGCCCCGCCGCCCTGCGGCCACTCCAGCGGGCGGGCCGGCGCCTGCGTTACCGCCCAGTTGGGCCAGGAGCAAGTGCGCGGGCGCCGGCGGCGCCGGCAGGGGGCGGAGTGTGTGGCAGCCGGCCGAGGGAGGGCGGAGCGACCCCGGCAGGGGTGCTGCCGGCGCCACGGCGGGCGCCATGGCAGTGGCCTCGAGCCACAGCTGCGGCTGCATCTGGCCGGCGTTGGCCGCGGCGAGCGCTTGCAGCTGGAACTGACGGGCGGCCGCGACTGTCGATTCGGCAGCGGGGGCGGCCGCGGGCGAAGTGGGCCCGACCGCGCGCCCGCCGCCCACGGGCCCGGTGAAGCTCGCAGAGTGCTGCGGGACCCTGTGCCTGCCGGCCCCAGCCGGCCCGCTGAAGCTCGCCGACTGCCGCGGCGCCCTGCGGCCCCCGCCCGCCGCCTTGCCTGCCGCGGCGCGCACCCCCAGCTTGCCGGGCGCGCACCACTCCACCGCCATCGGCGCGTCGGCGCCCTCCCACGCGCGCCGCCCGTTCAGCGCGGCGCGCGCGGCGCGCGCGCCCTCGTGTGACGTCATAGTGACGAGGCCGCAGCCCTTGCTGGATCTGGCTGTCGGCCAGGCCCTGAAGAGGTTGATCTCTTCTACGCCGCCAAACGGCTCGAAAACACGTGCGACCTCGTTGGCGGGCGCGCTGGGCGCGACCTTGGCGAAGAAGAGCTGCGGGGGCGAGGCAGTGAGGCGGGTGCGGCAGCGCTCGGTGAGGCGGCGAGGCACAGAATGCCACAAGGGCATGGTGCGGACGCTGCACGCTGAGGTGCCGCACGGGCGTCGAGACTGCAGGCGGATAGGGGCCGCACCGTCCTGTCGTTCCTGTCGCTGTCAGGCGCGCCCGCCGCTGCGGCGGCCTCTGCAGCAAAGGGGCCGCTGCCTGAATGGCCGACGGGCGGCGAGGTGACAGGCGCCGTCGGCACTGCAATGGGCTGGCGGCGCACAAGTGGGCCTGCGCCACAGGAAGCGGCTACCAGCAGGCTCTCCTGATCGTAGAGAGTGGCTGCAGAGGACGCCTGCGGCAGCTGGTCCGGCGGGAGCGCCGGATGCAGGCGTAGTGGGCCAGCATCCTGGATCGCTTCCCCAATGCTGCTAAGGTTGATGCGCGCCGCTGTCGGGTCCATACGACCTGCAAGAGGCGGCCCTATGTATATTTTAGATGTTTCCTACGGTATGCTGTCCACTCGACGCCTCTACCTATCGTAGATCATGTGCGCGCCAGTTGGTTGGCTGGCGGCATGTCGTCTTCGTCTAGCTGCGATGTAATTGTGATCCGGATTGTCAAGCGGCACGCTAGTCATTGAGCAGCGTGATCAGGTTTTGCCCGAGGCGAGCGGGCGTGCGGAGTTTGTGATGAAGGTGGGCCGCCGCCACTCACCAAGGCATAACCGATCTCCGCACGGTGGCTACGCGCCCTGCAAAATACCATCAGCCTTTGCTTATAGACTGTCCTTTGCAGCCTTTGCTGTCTCAATGTCGGACAACGAACTGTGTGAAGAAAGCACACCAACACACTGTCTGCACTTTCTGCAGGAATACGGGAATTGGAGAACCAGAAGTATCATGAGAAGGGTGTGTAGTCGCTTGTAGGTTCAAAACAGAAGTCGTGATGATTATGTGAATCACAATGTGGGTGTGACGTCCTCTTGGTCATGGGCATGCGTGTCAGCATGAGCAAACTCAAAGGGGAAAGCCGCAGGTGGAGGCGGTTGATCAAGTAGACAGTTTCATTTCCACTGGCCCACAATGCCGCACGCTGCAGTTTGTGCGGCACAAACTGCAGCGAGCGGATGGCCAGTGAGCTACGGCCAGCCTGCTGCCACGCCTTCTGCCGCACCAGGGGACGGCACTGTGCAAGCACTCATCTCAGTGCCAACCCCGAGACACAGGCGATTAAAGGTAAAATTGATGCAACAGATGCCCATGCCACCGATGCCCTCACGCGATGAGCGCAGCCCACCAGGAACAAGCTGACCCTGCTGTCGTGCTCCGCAGACTTTGGAATTCCCACATGGTTTGAACCACCCCGCACAGATTGGCCATGTGTCTTGAGCGGAAACACTCTGGCTTCTTTACCGGAGAATTACATGACATTTTTGGAGTCTTTGCGCCTGCAGACAAAAGTCATGAGCTTGTCTTGGGGATTAAGGCGCTCAAAGTGGGGTAGAACTTCTTGCAACATTATTAGAGAGTGAGCACAAAGCAAATTCACGAATAAGCAAGAAATGCTGTTCAACACTCTGATCATATCACAGCTGTCCCTGCACATGCTCTCGACCACCCATGAATGGTGCACACCATGACACGTGTGCCCGCCCCGCGAACGTGTCTGAGCTGAGCACTTGTCCATGCGTCCATGGGAAGATGCTTTGCACGCGGTGAACCTCACCAGGTCGGGTTGTGTGCTCTGCGAGGCTTGTTTTATATGAATAAGACAAAAAATGAGGTTATGGCTGGTGCTGGTGGCCTGCGGTCACCCTTGTCGGCGGCCCCGCCCGTGTGAAGATGCATGAGAACAGCTTCGTCGGTGGTTCGGCGGAGCGCGCACGAACGAATGTGCAGGGGACAACTCATGTGACCACCTAATTAATTTTATCCTACATCCGTTTCAGCACGTACGTGCATCATAGTGCTAGTTACACGACAGCCTGCAGCTGACTCGCAATGCTTGGTGCCCCAGCGCCAAAAAGTGTGCATCTCAATATTTCAGCCGGTGATAGCTAAAACGATGCGTTAGGTGCTGCCAGCGATCCGGCGAGCGCGGGGCTCGCTTTGTTTGCAAACTCGGCCCGCGGTCGAATGGCGCAGTCAATTGACCAGCTCTCAATTTTGCTGGCACGTATGAGGGCCCGCCAGGCGATGGACGGTGGGTTTTTGTACAGATCAAGCGACGACAATCGGAGCGGTCGCCGTGCGTGCATCAATGCCCCGTATCTCCATAAGCGCTTGCTATCAATACAGTTTCGTGTCATGGGGGGGTGGCCACCGCCATGCGTCACAGCGTGCACAGCACTTCAGCCGGCCCGCTGACCAGGCGACCGGCCGCGCCACCGCCGCATTCTGAACTGAAGACCCACAGCGCTGGCAGTTGCCGTGTGTGCGCTACAATGCCCAAGAAGAGGCTACGCTAGATGCGCCTTTCTGGAGCCTGGCGGCCAGCCACCAGTGCGCACATTCGCTGCTCGCGACCGACCCCCAGCAGCCTGCACCCGGGTTTGCAGCGGCGGTCGCCGCGGGCGCAGCGCCGACACGGCTGGCAATGCGTATCGTGGAGGCGCCGGCAGAGCTGTGTGGTCCGCTGCGAACCGACAGGTGCGCCATTCCGGGGCGGGGATGCGAATGGGCCGCAGGCCGCGCAGGCTCGCTTCCGGCGTTGCGGCGGCCTAACGACCGTCCCAGCCGGCTGTGAGTCGTGACTGCGGGGCAGGAGTCAGAGTATCGGCAGCAATTGAGCCGGTCGTTTTCCTACAAGGCTTGGCTGGACCCAATAATTATAGGCCTCGGCATAAGGGAGGCGACTGGCTGGCCGAAGCCGCACGCCCCGCCGCCGACCGGCCCCGCAGGCGCCTTGCGCCGCCGTTTCGTGTCAGAGTGGACGCCCACTACTGCGGCTGCCTGGACTTCCTGTTCACTGTCAAGGCTTACATCATCGACGTCGAGGCGGCCGCCTATATTCATGAGTAAGCTTATGGGCACGGGCGGCTGACGGCGGGGCGGGCACGTATGCACCGTCCGCGCCTGGTGTCGCCCCATCGGGCAGGCTGCATGCATGCGTGTGCATGCCATGCGCGTGCCATGCGTGCTCATGCATGCTCTTGGGCTCACTCATGCATGGCCGTGCATCCCATCACCCGCATGCAGGTGGGTGCCGCCCGAGTTCCAGGACGACATGGGGCCCTGCAAGGCCCAAGTCACAGAATTCAAAGGCGAGGTCTGCATGACCCACCACTTCAAAGCCGCCGCCAGCGCCGCCTTGCGCCCCCGCGCCGGCGATGGCGATGACGGCTGCAGCGCATGGGCCCGCGCCAGCGCGGGGCCGGCGTCAGCGCCGCCCGGCTTGGAGGCGTGCTGCAGCCATGAGTTTGTGTTTGGGGACCTGCGGCTGGCGAGGCCGTCGAGGATGAAGCCGTTTTATGTGGTCTTTGCAGCTTCCGTGCTGGACACTGACCTGATATACGTCTTCTGGAAGGTGCCCTCCATAGCCATCTGCCGCACCGACCAGTTTGACAACGCGTGCAAGGTGCTCGGCCTGCCGACCGGCGCGGCGGCCGCGCGGCTCGCCGCGTCGGCGGCGCCAAGGCCGTCGATGCCGGCGTGGCGGCAGGCGCTGCTGGCGGCTGCGGCGGCGCAGCAGGAGGAGCAGCAGCAGCAGGAGCAGCGGCAGCAGCAGGAGCAGCAACAGCAGCAGCAGCAGCTACTGCTGCAAGACCATCCGCTGCCGATGCAGACCCTGCTGTCTGACGACCGGCTGCAGCGGTTGCTGCTGCGGGAGCAGCGGCAGCGCCTCGGCGCGCTACAGTGGCGGCTGCAGGACGAGCGAGCGATGCCGCGGGGGATGCCGGCCTCGTGGCAGCAGCAGCAGCAGCAGCAGCAGCAGCAGCAGCAGCCGTGCCTAGATGCAGCGGACCCTGCTCTCATCCTTGCAGACCCTGCGGGCGACTGCCAGCGCGAGTGTGGCGGCGGCTTGGTGCACATTATGCCCGACAAGGCCGGCTTCAAACGCCAGCGGCAGGCTGGCAAGCAGCAGAAGGAGCAGGAGCAGTTGCAGCAGCAGCAGCACCCGCAGCCGCCGCCTCTGCCTGCCCAGCGCGCGCCCCAGCAGCCGCAGCTGTGGCAGCGACAGATCGCGCGCAGCAGCAGCGGTGGGAGCGATGACGCGCAGACACTGGCTGACGTCCCGGGGGCCCCCGCCGCCACGGCCGCCGTCGCCGCCGCCACCACCCCGCCGCCGCTGCTCTCGCGCGGCGCCCGTTCATCGTCCCTCGGTCCCGCCGGCTGCCCCCAACCCGCCGGCCCCGACCCCGCCGACGACGCCGCGGCCGTCGCCGCCGCGGCTGCCGCCGCGACAGTGCGTTGCGTTCCGCGGCCGCCGTCGGCGGCGGCGCTGCGCGCGCTGCTACTCGCGTCGTACGGGCAGCTGGGGTTCACCCGGCCCCTGTGCCCTAAGGACCTGTCGGCCCTGCAGGCGCTTGCGGGCTTCAGCGCCGCCAGGCCCGCGGGCGGCGGGGGCGAGGGGGCAGTTGAGGACGCGGACGCGGCGCGGCGCGAGTGGGAGGGGTTCCTTGCCGCGTGGGTGCAGACGCTGAGTCTCATGAAGCTGATACACAACGTGAGGGCTCGTGCACGCGCGCGCGTACGCGCGCCGCGCCTGGCCGCACACCCCGGCATGTCCCTGCGCCGCTGGCGTGCTGCCCTGCAAGATTGCTGAGCGTGCGTCAGGGGGCTGGGTGCCTGCTCCGCCCAACCCCTCACATCCCTGTCTTTCAACCTGCCCTCAACCCTTTTTTTGCCCGCCCCACCCCCAGCTCTGGGACATGGCAGTGCCCACCACCCTTGTCTCCGGCCCCGCCGTCGGCCGCGCCGCGGTTGCCGCGGCGCTCCGCCCGCAGCCGCCGGGCACCTTCCTCTGCCGCGTCTCGCTCGGCCAGCCCGGGTCGCTCATCGTCAGCTGCCGCGCAGCTGCTGAGCACCCGCAGGCCGACGCCGACGGCGTTGTGCACGTCGCGGTGCCCGCAGCGCTGCTGCGGCGGCGACGCGCTGACTCGTGGCTGCGGGCGCTGCCCGGCGCGACGCACGCGCTCGACGCGGCGACAGGCGCACGGTTCGACAAGCGGCAGCTGCTCGAGGGTGATTACGTGAGGGTCGCCGAGATCAGCGCCGCGGCGGCCGCCGCGGCGGCGGCGAAAAAGGCGGCGTGCGGCGACGCCTGCGCCGGCGCCTCGGTGGCCGTAGGCGTGCAGGCCGGCTGACGCCGGAGAGCTGCTGAGCCGCTGCCGGCGGCAGGGCCAAGGCAGCGCCTTGCATCCGCTGCCCCGGCACCCCTTCATGTGTCGGCCCCCCTGCCCCGCTGCCAGCGGACGCCGAAATGATGTCGGTCCTGAGCCCACCTCGGCTCTGCAGGAGCCAGGCAACCTGTGCCAGCACCGCAGGTACCCCTGTCCTCTGCACGCGCCCCGTCAGCGCACCCCGCAATCTCTCTCAGATTCGTTCATTGTTTGGATGGTATTTATGCGGGGCCGACCTGACCTATTCCTAGGCGCGAAAGCGCAAGGCGCCGGGCCTTCTGAGGCGCCGCCATTCGTGTACTTGGGTTGCTCTCATCTGTCCCCTGCCCTTGTGCCCATTGCCTTGCTCACACACACGCGCCGGGGCGCCCCCGCGCCGCACGAGGCCGCGGCGGCCGCTCCCTGGACGTTGATTCCTCCCTGGGTGCATTCGCGCGTCGCTTACCGCACTGGGGGCGTACGACCTTGTTTCGACTTCGCCGTCCCGTGCATGCGGGCGGCTCCCAAGCCGCGTCAGCGCCGCGGCCGCGTGCCGTGCCTCCCAGCGGGCGAGCAGCCCGCCGGCCGCGCCTTGCACGGCCCCCACGGTTGCCCTCGGCGCACTGCAAGGCGGCCCTGCGCTCGCCCCCGAGCTTGCAGCGCGGCGCGGCGCCTCAAAAGCTCTCGGCGTGTGGCGCCACGGCTGCGGCCTGCAAGGGTCCGCGGGCCGGGGGACCAGGGGCGCCAGCCCTCTGACGGCCCAGATCGCACCCAACCAGGTGCGCACCAACGTTTGCCCCGCGCGCTGCCCACGCGCGTGTCCCATCATCGCCATCCAACTCATGAGGTCATGTTCACATTTTTTGTTGCCGGCCGAAACAGGGCCCCCCCTTATGTTGGGTGCAACATCGCAGTTTGACCCACCGGCGACTGACGGCGCCACGTCAGCAACCACCGGGCCGTTCTCCGGCAGCCCCTCAATCCGCCAGGCGGCCCCGGACTGCGCGCCTCGGGCCCCTTGGCGTGCGCCGCGTTGGCATCCGCACTGGCGCAACCTTGGTTCGATCTTGGGTGGGATTGTGTCAGACGTGGGGTGGGAGGGGCGCGTGCGCGCGCATGCCTGCGCGCCCAACCGCGTGCCGGCATGCGGCGGCTGCCCTTTGCAGCCGGCAGCTCTCCCTCTCGCGCACGCGCGCGCGCGCGCCCCTAAGCGAGCAGCACTGGCATCCCTTTGCCTTACTTTGATGTATGTGCCGAACTCAGGGTCCCCCTGCCTGCCGCGGCCAGCGGGATGCCCTCCCTTCCGTGCTGTGCGGCGCGATGTCCAACAGAAAAGCGAGAAAAGCACCCCCCGCCCCCCCCGCGCGCCCGACGCGCCGCGGGCCGCGGCGCGCGCCCCCTCCTGCGCCGCTTGGCCGCTCGCTGGAGCGGCCGCGTGCAAGGGCAGTCCCGCAGCGGCGGCGGCGCGCTGCCGCGCTTTCACCGCACCGCCCTGGTGCCTCTATCTTGCTCCGCGCGTCGTTCGCCATGCCGTTACCCACACATGCAAATTCGGGAGGCGGACCCCGTCCCCCTCCGCCGCTCACGCACTGGATGTTACATTTTGAGGTGCGCGCCCGGCGCCCGCTTGGCCCCAAGGATATGCATCGTACGGCCCCGCCTGCCACCCTTGAGCACCAACCCGTCCTCCCAGCTCCCACGCGGCCAGCCCAGCTGCGCCTTGTTCCCCCATATTGCTGGACCACCCCGGCAGGTGAGCACGCGGGTCCCTAATTCATTTTACAAACTGCTGCTGTACCATGCAAGGCATGGCTTCGCTTTATATTGCCGCCAATTCTTTTCACTGCATTGTTGTTTGCTTGCAATCTGTGAGGATAGTACTCAGGAGAAGCTGCCATGCTGCACCGCGCTGCGAACTGCTTGGCGGCTGCTGCAAGCATGTAACCCCGTACATCACCGATTGCAGACCGCGGCATGTGGCGATGCGGCGTTAATTTGGGGGAGACTTCTAGGCGTGCCGTTGCCGCGGATTGTTGTTGTGTTGTTACAGATCACACCGCGACAGATTTCAGATTGACAGGTGGCCGGCGCCGCCGCGGCGTCCATGCGCTGTTGCGGCCGGGCCAGCCCCTGCTGCGCCATGAGCGTCTTCCAAAAAACCGACAAGGGAACTTGCAATTTAGATGGGGTTTTGATGGGGGTGAGGGGCGAAACGCCTGCAGCGCATGACGCCGGGCAGTAGTAGTGGCACTACGAACCCTTTAAGAGGGGACCCCAGCAAAACAAAAAGAGCACGCGAGGGGACCGGCGTGCGCCGCACACAGCCGCGTGCGTGCGAAATAAGCGCCAGGCTCGACAGCGACACGCATGAGGCTTTGCCAGTCTCTCGTTTTTGGGCCTTAGCTCGGAAGCCGAGCGAGCCAGGACGGGCCGCCGCGGGGGCACGGAAAGGCAGCGCCGCAGGTCGGGGCGGGTGCGCCGACGGGTGCGCGTCGGAGCATATGTGGGGGTCGTGGCGGCTCCGGCAGGGCCGCAGGGGTCGGCTGTCGGGGCGCGGGGCGGCGCTGGGGCGCCGCAGCCGGCAGGGAGCCGGGAGTCCAGGCTTGAGCAGTGCAGGCAGGCAGGGTTCGAGCAATTCAACATTTGTAAAGCGCCGCAGGCAGGCGCGGCCGGGGCGGCGGCGGGGGCGCGGGCGGGCTGGCCGGGCCGAGGGGCGGCGGCATTGGCTGCGACTCAAGCCGTCAGCGCTTGAACTCGTGTTGTGTGTGGAAAGCAGGCGCACTGACGCGCACGTGCAGCCACAGCAGAGTGTATATAGGAGCGCGCTCACGTGTGCGCCTATTGTGCAAGGCAGCAAAGAGAGCGGACTGGGACAGACACAGCAACAGCACGCGGCACGGGGCGCTAGCCGTGCCCTTCACAAATGCTTGCCCGCGTGTGCAGCGAGTGGGCGGCCAGACCGCCTGTTGCTCATTTCTTGTCCCTAACGTGCGCCCGTTTAGGGGTGCGGCCCGGGCCATCGCGGCGCAGTGCGTGCCAAATACGTAAGATTTGGGGCTTGTTGTGTTGTCTTCCAAAGGTTGTGGCTGCCCTCTAGCACGGCAGGGCCGCGTGTCGCGGAGCAAAGTGCATCCAAGGCCGCGTCGGTGGGTTTGACTGCCCGAGCGCTGCCGGGGAGCGGGGAGGCGCCATCTCACTCAGGGTTGATCAAGGGCCCTCAGACTGGCGGCAAAGAGCCTCCGGCGGCGAGCAGCGGGCCCTCAACGCGCCGCGGGCGGGCCGTCGCAACGGCAGGCGCGCAAGCACTGCGGGATGCGATCTGAGGCCTGGCAGACCCGCCAATCAAGGGGCGGTGTCCAGGTGGGACCAAGAATGCGCGACGGGCACACAGGCAGCGCCACGCGCGGGACGACGGTCGTCGCCCCCAAAACAGTGCAAGCGGGCCAGCCCGCGCTGCGCGCGGCGTGGCGCGGCGGCGGCGCGCCATCAATCGCGCACCGAACCAAGAGTGGAAGCGGCGCGTATTGTGTCCTACGCCGCTGCCAAGGTCAAAGTGAAATCACCAATTGCGGGCAGGAGGATAGTTCATCATCAGAGCCACTCCCAGGTTGTTCTGGCCGCAGGAGGCAGCCTGCACTCAAACAAACAATTTTCTCACAATAAGCTGCACATGTGCAGGTTTAGTTGCGGCAGCTTCCGTTTGTGGTCCCTGAAAGGAGAATCCGCCCGGCCGAGGGTTCATGTATACGCCATCATGCAGCACGCGGCGCACGCAGCGGCGGCGCAAATCGCGCGCCTCCGACAGCCCCGTGGCACCGGCGTGGCGCGCACGGGCGGGGCCCGCCTCGGCCGGCGTCGTACATATGCGCGAGCATGCTTGCGAGCGTGCGTGCGTGTGTAATGCAGTCGTGCGATGACGTGGTGAGATGCTGGACACCGCAAGAGTCATCGAATACCGCCCCAGGGCGCGCAGGGCGCTAGCACACCCTGCGGCACGCCGGGGGTTCTGGCGGCTGTGAGGCCCTTCAAGAGTGTTCGATCCGCCGTGACTTTCTTCGGGGTTGTTGCAGCCGGCGCACACACCCCAGCAATGGGCACCACACATGGTCAGATCGGCTCACACCACACTGTTCGAACTGCATTTGGATTGCCGGGTGGCTGTGATGTTGCCGGGCGGCGACATCACAGGCCCGCGGCGGCGCCGTCCCCAAGCAGGCGCGCCAGCAGCGCGCCCGCAGAGCGCAGAGCCTCCTCCGGCCCGACCACCACCGCCCACAGCTGCTGCGGCGCGCCCGCCGCGTCCAGCGCGCCCGCCGCCTGGACGGCCAGCGAGGCCCCGGTCAGCAGCTGGATCGTGGAGGCATGAGCCAGCAGCAACTCGGCGCCCTGCTGGCTGAGCGGCAGCGTGAGCCTCACTGGCGTAGCCGTGGCCGCGGCCAGCTCCTGCATCTGCATCTGCTGCTGCTGCTGCTGCTGCTGCTGCTCCTGCTGCATCTGCATCTGCTGCTGCTGTTCCTGCTGCATCTGCAGCTGCAGCTGCAGCTGCAGCTGCAGCCGCATCCGCTGTTGCTGCTGCTGCTGCTGCTGCTGCTGCTGCTGCTGCTGCTGCTGCTGCTGCTGCTGCTGCTGCTGCTGCTGCTGCTGCTGGCGCAGCAGCTCGTGCTGCTGCGCCTGCAGCGCAAGCTGCCGCCGCAGCTGCTGCTGCTGAAGCAGCTCCTGCTGCTGCAGGAACGCTAGCTGGCGCCGCAGCTGCGCCTGCTCCTCTGCGGCTTGCTGGAATGCCAGCCGCTCGCGCGGTGCAGCGGCCGCCGCTGCCGCGCCGCAGGCGTCCGGGGCGCGCCCCGCGGTGACGCTGGGAGAGAAAGAGGGCGCTGCCACGGGCGCCGCCAGCGCGCCGCCGGCGGGCCGGCCGGCGGTGATTGCGGGGGTGAGCGGCATGCAGGCAGCGGGGGCGGCGGCTGCGGCGCCGCGGCCGCCGGCCATCCTGTGCAGGTCGAAGGCCCCGACAAAGAAGGGGTCGTGGGCGGGCGGCACCTGGGGTTGGAAATTGGGGGAGACGGGCAGCCAAATGGGTGAGCGAGCGGCGAGGGGTGACAACGAGCAGTGCGGGCGTATGGCAGGGGCCCGCCGTGTGTCCACAAAATGGAGCCGTGCGTCGAAGAAGCTCGGCGCTCGTGACGGCGTGATGCCTGTGTGCTCACCTGGTAGGGTGCGTGAGGCGGCAAGCACACAGCCAGGTCCACCGGGGCCGAAACGGGCTGAGCCTGCTCGGCGTTCTTCACCGCAGCCGCCGCTGCTGGAATGTGGCCGATGGAAGGGCCCCACAGGTCCGGCCAGCGCGCCGCCACCGCCGCCGCGGCCGCGCCGCCGCCGTAAGCGAGGGCGTCGAGCGCGGAAAACGCGGCCGAGGCGCAGCCCATCTCGCCGCCCGCGGACATGGGGCCGCCGGGCGCCGCGGCGGCGGCGAAGCGGGGCGCGGAAGGCGCGGCGGCGGCAGCGGCCGTGCCTGGGGGCGCGGGGAACATGGTGCCAAAGGCGCCGGGGGCGCTGGGGCTGGCGCCGGGGCCGAGGCGCGCGCGGAGGCCGCCGGCAGCGGCGGCTGCCGCCGCCTCTGCTGGGGAGAGGGGGCTCGACGGGCTGGCCGCGCCGGCCACGCCTGCCGAAGTAGCCATGCTGACGGGGCTGCCCGCGCTCGGGCCTGCCGCGGCGACAAAGACGGGGGCAGAGCCGCCACCGCACGCGGCTGCGGCGGCGGCGATGGCGCCGCCCTCGGTTTTGATTCCCCGGCAGGCGCCGCCGCCCGCGACGGCAGCCGTGAGCGCGGCCGTGCAGGGGTCGGAGCAGTGGATGAGTAGAGGTTCGTCGCTGTTGATTATGCCATTGGGCACGGCGTGGGCGGGGTCGGACGCAGCACGGGAGGCTGCGTCGAGGGTAGTGGGGGAGGAGGTGTGGAGGGGCAGGGCGCTGCGCCGTGGAACGG